GGATGTTGTGAATAATTTTGTCAAATAGTTTAGCTTGAGTACAAAGATGTAGTTTAGGGTTGAATTTTCTTGGTTTAGACTGTCTGTTCTGTGAGTATCCCTGTAACTACGTGTGCATGCTAATTGTTTTGATTCCGTGTGGTGATTATCGTAAGTCCCGTTGTTCAGTTTGCTTGAGGACAAGCAAAGACTTAAGTGTGGGGGAATTTGATAAGTCCGTATTTTGACACGCATTTGATGTGTGTTGAGATCAGATTTTGATGGTTTCCCTAGCTTTAATATGTTGCAAGTCTCAATTTTAGCTCAAGTTATGTTTACCGGGCGTTGGTTCGAGTTTTGTGTTTGTAGTCAAAATCAGGGAATTTGAGCCCGGGTACCGGCACTTGAGGAACAATCGGGATGATTTGAGAAGCATTTGAGAATGATTTGATAGCTTTGGAGGTCACCGGAAGATTTACGATGAAGATTTGAAGGAAAAAGAGCTCTAGGATTGGCTTCGGGATCAAAAGAAGATGAATGAAGCTTGAAAACGACGATCAGGATGACCTTCTATCAATCGTTCAAGCATATCTCTTTGTAGAAACATCCAATGGCCACGATTCAAGTTGCATAAGAAAGCCAACTTCAAGAGCTACAAATCATATGAAGACACCTTTTCAAGAATCTGAGAGAAAGAAGGTGAAAACAGACGATGAAGTCAGATGATCTCTGCTGCGATTTCAGAATAACACCTTCCACCGTTTGAATCATATCTCTTGATTGGATGATTCAAATCACATTTAGCAAGTTGGAGTGGATAGAGGACTTCCTTATCTACAACTCTTATGAAGAAAGCATTGCCAAATTCGGAAGTTAAGTAGGCACGATCGTGCCCTCAAAGTCAGACACGATCGTGCGTGAAGAGAAAACACGGAGGAGCTACTGCCAGCCAGGCACGATCGTGCTTGGAGGGAGGCACGATCGTGCCTGCCCAAAATGCACGTTTTTGCTCCGGAGGCACGATCGAAGGCACGATCGTGCCTGGCATCGTGTCTGGCTCCGAAAATCCTAATTCAGCTCAAATTTCACCCGATTTTTCTATTTAAACAGCCTGTAAACCCCCGTTGTCAAGGGGGGAGCTTAGAGAGAGTGCCTAGCACGAATTTTAGAGGGCTTTTCAGCCTTGTTCATCAATCTTTTGGGATTCTTTGTAAGTTCCACCTTTTTAATTAATGACAATTAATTCTTTTTATTCCAATTCTATTGATTCTTCAATTATGAATTGTGAGTAGTTTTAATTAGGGATTTGGGATTGATGAAGGGGTTAATCATGATGTATGGCTAGATTCTTGTCGGTTTAATTGCATGAATGCCGTTTAATTTGTGTTTGAATAATTTAACTGATATCTTTTGTAACCTAGATGGCCACTAGAATTACAATTGCATGTAGAATAAATTAAGAGAGATCTAATTTGTTCTAGGACACATTCACACACACTTAATCGTTCGCTAAAAGATTAGTAGCGATTAAGGGGCCGTAAGCTCGCTCGTCTTGGCAATAATTTAGGATCCTGTCGCATGAGAGATCACCCTGGTCCCCTAAATTATTGTACTCTACGCCGCGAGAGCGGTAAGAACTTAGTAATGATTAGCTAGGCTCAATTAAATTAATTTCATGTAATTAGGCCTGATCTGCCAGAAATCTGGTTACCCCGGAATCGATCCCTGTTCCCTTCGTCATTAATTAGAAAGAACCCCCTAGGTTAATTGTTCGCATTAGTTTTATTTTCAAACCAACCAATCTCGTACGACGCTTTTATTTTATTTTCTTTTTAATCGCTGAATTTAGTTAATTCTTAATTCCCTTTTGTCCGTCCCTGTGGAGACGATACTCGTACTTACACCACTATATTACGATCTATTTTAAGTGCGAAAAACTCACATCAAGCGACTCCCTAACATTGCCTTCTTACGCGTCTTCGGTTGTAAATGCTACATTATGAATGACAGGGATGCAAGGGGGAAGCTTGATCCAAAGGCAAATGAAGGGACATTCATTGGGTATTCTACCAACTCTAAGGCGTACAGAGTATACTTGAAAGACAGAAGAACCGTCATGGAGAGCATCAATGTGAGCTTCTATGAAATGGCGGATTTGGCTTCTGAACACTTTCATTCTGAACCATCAACCTCTGCAAACAATGAAACTCCATCATCTTCTGGAGTAGGAGGGCAGGGAAGTGAGACAAGATCTGATGAGCACGTGGTTCTGGATTCTCTAATTGAGCACTTCTACAGTCAACCACGTGCAGCACCAACTACAAATGCTACAACCACACAGAACCCCCTGTTACCTGCTCCAACCACTGAAGAGCAGACTGACTGTCACAATAAAGTGGGATAGCTTGAGGATGATGAACTCCCAAACTAAGAAGAAGTGCCTTAAGCCATTTCAATTCACATGTGGCGGCAGCCATAGACCGGTATTCGGCTTCAGCCGATGAACGTGCCACCGTAGTTTGCTTTTTAGTCTTCCAGGAAATAGGGGAGTGTCCAAGGAAAATCAGCCAACCAGAAAGGGATCTACGAGTAAGAGGACACGCAGCCCAATCAGAATCACACCACCCAGTAAGAGAAAGGTCACTATCTGCTCGGAGAAGAATACCTTGACCGGGAGAGCCTTTGAGGTAACGGACCACACGAAGAGCAGAATTCCAATGTTCAATCCGCGGATGTTGCATAAATTGAGACAGAATATGAACTGAGTAAGCAAGGTCCGGCCGAGTAACTGCCAAGTAAATGAGACGCCCGACAAGCCGACGATATTTCTCAGAGTCATCAAGGAATGGACCCGAGGCATGAGCAAGATTATGATTTTGTTCAATAGGAAACAAGACTGGCTTCGCTCCTAGTAGGCTGGTTTCAGATATTATATCCAAGGCGTATTTTCTTTGGGTGAGAAATATACCCGATGAGCTCCGAGCCACTTCAATGCCCAAAAAATATTTTAACTTTCCAAGGTCTTTCATATGAAAGCATTCGCTAAGATAACTTTTGAAAGAATGTACGGCAGTAGAATCATTCCCGGAAATAATAAGATCATCAACATAAACAAGCACATTCAGCTGAATGTTACCCCGAGTGCAAGTAAACAAAGAGTAATCCGAGAAGGATTGCAGAAATCCATAAGCTTTAAGAGCCGTGACAAGTTTGGCAAACCAACACCGAGGGGCTTGCTTCAACCCATATAGAGACTTATGAAGTTTACACACCAGATCAGGGCTAGAGGATTTATATCCCGGAGGCAATGTCATATAAACCTCCTCTTGAAGATCACCATGGAGAAATGCATTATGCACGTCCATCTGATGGAGTTCCCAATTTTTACATGCAGCAATAGCAAGAAAAGCACGCACAGTAACCATCTTTGCAACTGGAGCAAAAGTTTCATCATAGTCAAGACCAGCAACCTGGCGGTTCCCAAAAATAACCAAGCGAGCTTTAAGGCGTTCCACCGTGCCATCAGACTGATATTTAATTTTATAGACCCAACGACACCCTAAAGCTCGTTTTCCGGGAGGAAGGGAGACAAGGGACCAAGTACCATTTCTTTCAAGCGCTTGGATTTCCGAGTTCATGGCCTCACGCCATCCTGGACTGGACATAGCCTCCTGGAAAGATTGAGGTTCTGTGCCCGAGGTAATTGCTGCAAGAAATACTCGATGCGGTACAGAAAAATTATCACAACTAACATAATGCGAAATGGGGAAAGGAGTACCTGAGGAAGCAGGAGAGGACGGAGAGGGAGAAATGGGACTATTTTTAATGACAGTGTGCGTGACATAATCCTGCAAGCGAACTGAAGGTTGTTTGATCCTCTGTCCCTGACCCAAAGCAAAAGATGTTGCAGATTCTTGAGATGAATTAGCAGTTCCCGATTCCGTGACATGTGAATTGTCTGGCATGATAACAACGGGAGGTGGAACTATAGGAATCTCGGCCGGCTGGTCCTCAAAGATTATGTCAGAAGAGGTGTCGGCCGGCGAAGACTCATCCGACAAAGGAGAGCTAGCAAATGGGAACTGGTCCTCAATAAACTTCACATCTCGGGAGACGAAAAATTCTTTAGTTTCCAGATCATATAAATTCCAGCCTTTCTTTCCGAAAACATAACCAACAAATATGCATTTTCGGCTACGACTAGCAAATTTGTCTCCTTTGGAGCGCAAATTATATGCATAACACAGACAGCCAAACACCTTCAAGGATTTATAACATGGTGGTTGGCCAAACAGCACTTCATACGGAGACTTGAAATTAAGCACAGAGGAGGGAGTTCTATTAATAAGATGTGCAGCAGTTAAAATACATTCCCCCCAAAAAAATAGAGGAAGATGAGCTTGAAACCGCAGTGCTCGTGCCACATTTAAAATGTGTTGGTGTTTGCGTTCAACACGGCCATTTTGTTGCGTTGTACCAACGCACGACGTTTGAAAGATAATCCCGCTAGCACGAAAAAAACCTTTTAAACAATTAAATTCAGTGCCATTGTCGCTTCTCACAATAGAGATCTTTTTGGAAAATTGGCGATCTACCATTGCAATAAAAGCCATAAACATCTTTAGAACCTCCCGTTTATCAATAAGCAAATAAGTCCAGACCGCACGAGAGAAATCATCCACAATAGTTAAAAACAATTCAGCACCACAAGAGGAAGCCGTATTATACGGACCCCACAGATCACAATGTATTAACTCAAAAATATCTTTAGATTTATTCTCACTAATAGGAAAAGAGTCTCTTGATTGTTTGGCACGAAAACAAACATCACAAGGCAAAGAAAACGTCCCAGGTTCATCACGTACTGGTATAAGTTGGCGTAGTACTTTCTCAGAAGGATGTCCCATGCGATTGTGCCATAAATTAAGAGATGTGTGAGTGCCTCCATTTACTGTCAATGCATGTGTCACAGAGTCCTCCCGAAAATAGTACAACCCATTTCTCCTCTCACTCGTTCCAATCAGCTTCTTCGAGACTCGGTCCTGTATAACGCAAATGTTAGAAGTGAATTGCACAAAACAGTCCAACTCATCACTCAACTGTGTCACAGACAGTAGATTACAATTCATTTCTGGTACCAACAAAACATGTTTCAAACAAAAATCCTTAGCAAGTTGAACCCAACCTTCATGGGTAGCTAGAATTGTTTGGCCATCTGGTAGACCAACCGAACATGGTTCAATGGGTTTCACATTAAACAGAAAAGATTTATCATTACAAATATGATTAGTAGCACCCGTGTCAATTATCCACGAATTTTTACTACGCTTACCGGTCATCCGCATACTAGAGGACTGTGTATTACCAAAATATGTCACCAAAGCATGCCACTGTTCCAGCGTGAATCCAGGCAGTGGTGCATCACCTCCTGCGCTGGAAGAGGTTCAGGCAGCCCCCTCTTGTCGTCCCGATCCGTCTGCAATGGCCGCATGGGCTTTAGCTCCCTGTTTGGTGCGTCCACGATCCTTTCCTGAAGGAATTGTACTGCCTTTCCCTCGTCCAGTATTCTTGTTATCGGCGCGAGGACGATCCCCCCACCAATCCGGGTATCCTTTCAATTCAAAATAAGATGTCACATCGTGTCCCGTATATTTGCAATAGGTGCACACAAGGCCTGCTTTGTCTGGCTTAACTCCACGTTTTGTGCCCTGTCCATGAGTTTGAACTGAAAAACCCAGGATTTCTTGAGGTTCAGCAGTATTACTCATACTTTGGACTCTTTCTTCCTGAGTAGTCTGCTGGTATGCACGGTTCAGAGTGGGCAGAGGAACCTGCGTGAGAAGCTGAGACCGTACTCCGCCAAACAATTCAGCATTCAGACCCATCAAATATTGATGGAAACGCTCAGACTCCCTTCGTTTTTCGTGCTGTTTTGCAACATCACATTTACACTTTCCACACGTACAAGAGATGATGGGTTCATATTTGTTCAATTCATCCCAGAGGACTTTCAATTTTGCATAGTACGAACCCACATTTATCCCACGTATTTGAGTGCATCTAGCGAGATCCGTCTTTACTTGGTGTATTTTCGGGCCGTCGACTGCTGAATATCGTTCCTGGAGGTCATTCCATAGCTCGAGAGGATCGTCATATTGTGAAAGCGTGCTTTTTACTTCAGCGGATATTGTATTGAGGAGCCATGAAACGATCATTGACTGCAGCGTCAACCAGTCATCTTGAGTCCATGGAGCGACTGGTCCCTTAATTGTGCCGTCAACAAATACGAATTTCCGGCGCGCCCGTAAAGCCAACCGCACAGCGTTCGCCCATCCGTCGTAGTTGTCCTCAGTCAGTTTCACCGGAGTGATAGTATCACCCGGTCTATCCTGCGCCCCAAGAAAGAAGGGAGAAGTATGATCTGACCGGCCCGCCGCAGAGCCTGCGGCGTCTTCACTATCGCCGATAGCCATGGGAATGGCTTAGGGCTCTGATACCATAACAAATAAGAATGAATATGGAAGAGTATTTGTTCAGGAATTTCTCATGTCACTTAATCAAGCTCGGCGCTATGTATATATAGCTAATACCGATCGGTTACAAGCCAGAAGAAAGAAAGGAAAAACATTCCTAGAAGGAAACTACCAACTAGAGAAAAGTTCCTAATAAAAAGCAATCTTCATAATAAACTAAATATATTATGATATATGCCTAATAATGTTGACGTATTTTAATACTCCCTCCGTCCAAATTTGATGATCTCATTTCTTTTAGGCTCAAAGATTAAAGAAGTGATTGAAAAGGTAAAAGTTGTGGTTGAGATTTGAGTAGAAAAAGGTGAAATGATGTGGACCACATATTTCTTTCCAAAAAGGGAAATGAGACTATCAATTTGGGACGGTCCAGAAAGGAAATATGGGATCATCAAATTGGGACGGAGGGAGTACCATCATCCTCGGAATACTCGGGTCAATACGTTTGATATGGACTCAGTCTTTCTCTCGTATTACATCCGGATTTATATAAACCATTGATTTACTGACCATTGTACGTATACACGTAATTATCTCATTACGTAACTATGTTACATATCCCATTAATCCAAGACCGTGTAGTACACATTTTGCAGTCAATCGCAAGATAGGGAACATAATTGACCCAGTGAACGAATTATGACTAATGTAGTTGTTAAAATAATCGGACCCATCCGACATGGTCCAAGTGATATAGTATCACTGGACCATTTCTCATTATCAAATAGTATATCCCACTGTCTTATCACCTGGATGTAGATCATAGTATTGTCCGAGATACCTATGTGATTACTCAATTACGTTAATGAGTTAATTAACGTAATTGATCATACAATTGATGTCAAATATGTTCTTCCTCATTGTGTAATATCTATTAAGTCAATACTGAAGTTGGTGATTGTAAACACATCGTTATGGGACTTAAGCCAAAATGTATTCTCCTAGCCATGTCGAAATGAGATACTATGAATAGAAGTCACACTATTATTGTTATCAGGTCTTTTGTCATGTGAACAACCTCGGTAGTAATGACTACCCATTGTAATGTGTAGTCGAATATGAGTAGTCATTTTGGATCTTTATACATTCATTAATTGTGTAGCCAAAATTATATATTGATCAATTACAAATGGTATTGTTATCCATTCTAAAAACTTAAATTTTACTCAATTGTGAATAAAACATATCACATATCACATATCACGAATGGTATTGATTAATTTACAAACTTGAGTATGACTCGCCCTGTAATAAACATATCACTCAATTGTGAATAAAACTTAAATTTTACACATACGACATGTTTGAGAAATGGTGTATAATCGAGGAGTATATCCTATGTTTAGTCAAAATACAAGCCATAGAATTGTTATCAATTACAATTTAGTTACACAATTCTGGAGCCATCGTGTAGTTTTCGTTCACGATGGACAATGTTGAAGGGTGTATAATTTTGACGACTTGTTATCGTAAATGTCCTACATGTTTTACAACTGGTTATATGGACAAGATAATGGCATTAACGATAACAAATCATATGATAACTTAAATACGTAAATTAGTTGAATTAACACTTAATCATGTCTTAAATATAAGCCTATTAAAATGAGTATCTCTAGAATGATACTATGTATTGGGTGATCATATATCAACCCCTTGTATCTATGGACACTATATAATTCTTTAGTATTACAATTCATAATGTATATGAGTGTAATTTAAAACAAATTACACTCATATACTCGATGATATATGTAGTACCATTCTAAATAATATAAAGGTGGTTAACACATTAGGATAACGACCTTTATAATATTGGGTCGTTATCATAGTATATATAATGTAAACTCCATATCACTATCAACTGAAAGTGATACAAATCGAGGTGTCTTAATACAAGTCCAAATAGTGGACTAATAAGTGATATACATTACTGAATATCACTTAAGGGATACACAATGTGTACATTCAACTTAAATAGATTCAATCTTCCCACTTACGAGTATCCGATAATAATTTGTAATCGAGTCTAGTACTGATCTGCAATTATAGGGTAATATACATTTATTCATCGTGGTATACTAAGTTTTAGAAGGGTACAATATATGGTACATGGTTGATACGTGTACATAATAGTATAACACGTTCACTTGCACCCATAATTGTATATTTTGATCATGGACTAATCGGTAAATTACAATCCAATGTAAAATCCCTTATGTCGACCAAAATATAGTTTCAATATAGACTTGTATCTAAATACTCCTCACTTGGATTATTTTCGTGTATCCGATGTGGAATTTTACTTAACATAGTTTCAAATTATACATAAAAAATTAATAGGATGATCCGATGCTTACTAAATGTTTAAAGTATGGATCGTTAAAAAAAATTTGCACAAATCTTATTTTACACACAAGTGTTACTCATCATGTAATGATTCCCTATTACACGAAATGATGCTAATAATCAGGTCTCCAGTGAGATTATACACATATATATTGGAGTAAAATACATGGGTAAGTAACTCCCCATACTTGAATTATTACAAAATCGGCATCCACTTAATGTCGATTGAACACGTCAAGATATAGATGAATAAGTATGATTACTTATTCGGTTGGACAATTCTCATAATAGGAGTACCCATTAATTTATACGATAGTAAATTAATATAGTGTTATATTGAAACCGAGATATACTCGATTAAGTTGTATTTAAACTGCAATAACATAGTAATGATGAATTGTTACACATAGATAATTAAATGTAGAGTGCTCTTCATGTCAGGCCGGCCTGACGGGCTGCCCCGTCCGTCCGAGCCCGTTTGGGAACCTTCCCAGTGGAATTGTTTGATGAAATTTATTGAGCATGTTCCTCATCAAGTCTAGTTTGTCCATACCAAATTTCAGCTCAAAATTCGATAGGGAAGGTCGTCAAATGATTTTTGCAAGTTAACTGGTCCGGAAAATACATATTCCGGACTAGTTAACTTGCAAAAATTTTTTGACGACCTTCCAGATTCAATTTTGAGCTGAAATTTGGTATGGACAAACTAGACTTGATGAGGAACATGCTCAAAAAATGTCATCAAAACATTCCACCAGGAAGGTGCCCAAACGGGCTCGGCCGGACGGGGCAGCCCGTCAGGCCGGCCTGACATGAAGTTTTCTCATTAAATGTATACGTGAACGAGATAATCGACATTATAGATTGTTTAATGGGTCTAATTAGATAGCACTATAGAACTCACAACGTTTAAGACAATGTTTGGGATATAGTTGTACCAAACATATGATGAGATTAGAGATATCATATGAACATATAATTCGGTAATGTATGGTGACTATTAGACCCATGGATATCAACGTGATTGACACTAATTTATGTGTCAAATCAATTGACACATAAATTATTGGTGATTAAACTTCCTACACGATTTATATTAGGAATTTAGGAAACATACACTCCTTGATAAATGATAATACATAATTCTCGTCAGACATACTTTACTTATACTACATATAAGTAATACATTATCTATGTGTTTATAAGTTAATACTATCATAAATGATTGTCATATGATATTAACTGTACTTAGTTTATTATAGAATGTATATTTGAAAACAGGGGCGGATACACATCTAAATTGATGGGGCACATGCCCCCAATAAAATTTAAAGTTTCAATAGTATACAGTTATAATTTAGTAAGATATAATATTGTGCCCCCAATCAGAAGAATGGTCTACAAAAGAAATCTACCGGGTATTTTTGTAAGTGAATACTTCTATACTCGATCTCTACAGAATATTGGAGAACTATTTCCCAAAATTTCTTTTTTAAGTTACTTATCGTTGCTTAGTACTTATAATTTGTAATGTTTTACACTTTTACTTTATGAGATCCCATTGCATATTCTTATTTATTTTCATATTGGATTACGTTATTGATTAATGATTTGGACTAGTGAAATTTATTCTCCATTCTTATTAAGGGTGATGAAAATCTTATTAAGGGTGATGAAAGATAATAATAACAACAACAACAACAATAATAATGATAATAATAATAAAGAACTTATTAGGGATATTATCAAAAGATATGGTCATTTTTGAAATATTACTACCACAATGTTGCTATGATTAAAATATTAAAAACGTTTTTATATTCCAAATTAGGACTATCGTGCCTTTTTCTCAAAATGGGATTAATTACTGCTATGTTTTAGTAATGTCAGACTTTACATATGACATTATTTTTTAAACTTGACAATAATTACTACTATTTGGGGAAGAAAAAGATGGCATTCCTATTTTGGAA